CTTGGTTTGAGGCGTGTTGAAGGTGCAGACTACATGACTGGGGTCTACGAGATTATAGAAATCAGTGGTTGAGGTTTCTTGGTGATGTGATTAAAAGTCAGTCACAGTAGTGATGTATTTACTCTTTGAGGTCTTCTAAAGCTTGGATATTTGCACCAAGCTTTGTATTCAGATTGTTTATTCTCTCTCAACTTAGTCTACTTTGATATCAGTCTTTTCATATCCACTTGTTCCTTTCTTACTACTGTGAAGTGTGTCAACTCGGTCTTTTGTGGGTATATATATATGATTTTGTGCCTGTCATCTTCGATTGACAACGAAGTCGATGTGTTTTGTACTACTCTAGAAAATTTGCAGCTTTGTTTTTCTCTGATTTTCTTATGATCAATTGTGATGGATGTGGTTGTGCTCTTCGACCTTTTCATTTCTCATTAGAGCTCTCTAAGTGAATCCTAAATATCATATCTTCATATACTCTATTTTTCGACACTACCTCTAATTTTGCATTTTATTTTTCTGAAATCATATATGCCAACTAATCCACTTCAAGGTATCGGTTAAGATTGCAAATCGTTACGGCAATAGTAAGTCATATTATTAACTAAAACACTTATTTTTTGACGTTCATTGATGTTAGGAAGGTTGATTGAAGTCCAGTGAGGCAGAATACAGGTGAATGACACAAAGTAGCACAGTTCTGTGTATTAAAATGTGATTGTTCGTCTTAACAGTCAGGTTTGATGACTTTGTTCAACTTCGCATTCCATTGGTGAGACCATAAACTGCAGTTTATATGGAAAGATGTACATGACTAGTATGTTATGCTTCAATTCTGAAATGTTTGTCAGAAAAAAGTATTCCGCTTTACAGTAGTAGGGATTCGTATTTGCTTTACCACGGTAAGGACAAATATCCATTATTTGGAAGGATGTACATATAATATTAGTTGGGATTGTTGTCCGATTACCTGTGGGGGCCGGGGTAATTTTAGATTGGTACTATCAAAAACCTTGAAACGATTGAGACTGATAACCGTTGCCGCCTGTGTAAATAAAATTGTCTCCTTCTGAGACAAGCTGATTTTATCACCATCATAATCATCAGCCTTTGGTTTACTAAGGAATGAACCGGAATCTTATCACCCGCATCGTCATAATATTTAGAACAGCAAGATACAAGGAAGTTAAAGGCTAGATGAGGAAAGAATTACGGTTATGTGACTCCATGAAACAATGTGAGGAGGCAGGTCACAGCTGATTGGTCTGTTACATGTACATTTGTTAAACTGGCCTTCTTCAAAGTTTAGTATGCCATGCCAAATTCTATCATCCTCGTGCGTCATTACACCAGTGATCTCTTTAAAATTGCTTTTGATGCATCTTACTCAGCGATGGAAGCCGTTTCGAAACAGCTGATCGATAACTATTAGCAGCCACTAGCTTTTTTCTAGAGGCGGCTGCAGGAAGTAAAAACAATGTATTGTACATTCGGTAGAGGACTCCTAGCTAAGTACTGTTTCGTATGCCATTTTCGACATACCGTTAAATTCTCTGATTTTATTATTTTCTTATGTCATGAACCACCTACATTCTTTCGTGGCTCGGCATCTAATAAATACTTTGCCTTTTGAATCATGACAATTTTATTAAATTCCTCAGATCACATCGATCATTCGTCAAATATTTGGAGCAAATATTTCCATGTCTGATGCATTTTTTCGAATATCTTGAATAAATTGTGCCGAAGGTATTAATTTTGTTGAATTTGCTCACTTTCGAAAAGACAATTTTGAGCTGAACTATGACTTATCGTTCGCAACTCTCAAGCTATTGTACAAAGCGGAATAAATGGAAATGAATCAGCCGCTTAGGTTACAGCTTTTATATTTCAGCTTTTGTTTCTCATCAATGTGTGGTCAGGATAAACCTTATTGGACAATTTTATTCTTCAGTTGACCAATCAAATGAGTTATTTGGCTTTTGACCTAGCGGTTTTATATCTTCGTAAAAACTGTATATATGCCGCATTTTGTTAAACAAATTATCTTCTTTACAGTTGCAGAACAGTACTCTTCTCCTGATATTTTTGTGGCTCAGAGAAGTGTGAGGTACAGAGGGGGAACAAACGCTGTCTGTAACCAGAATAAAAGTCTCACTGAATTACTATCGTTTGCTAATTTCTTTTATTATTCACTCTGTCACTTCGAGCTACAAGTGCATCTTATGGGATCTGGTAAGAATACAGTTTTATGCGACGTATTTATCAGTCAAACACGCTCGATATTGGTGAATATATGTCGATCAGGTGTCATCAATATATTGGGCGAATTGTTTCATCCAAGTGTAAAAGCCACCATCAGGCTTTTCGCATAACACTTTCGCTGGCTCAGGATAAGAAAAGACGTTGAGAAATGGCCCCAGTCGTGCTTAGCCTGTTAAAATTTAAAATAATAAGGTACACGAAAAGCCATTTAAGAGATTGGTAAAACTAACACGAGACTTTATGGACGACCAATCTGGTTGCAGATACTGTAATCAAGGTTATTCTTTTCTGTCCCTTTAACAAGTCGATATTGCTTAATCAGTTGATGAATTGTAACAAAGATCACACTATCAACTATTTTCAGGGAGTTGGAGTGATTACGAGAAGCGTAAGTTGTTAATAAAATGTTGTAATATATTGCCTACCTAACAATAAGAAAAAGGTGGTTTCGTCTTTCATTTTCCTACCTGTTGTAAAAAGAAATCTCCGAAAACATAATCGTCGTTCGAAAGATCTCATCTAACCCTCCAACAAATAACTATTTTTTTAGTACACTGGGTTGCTGGAACACCCGTAATGCCAGCAGGAGCCTTCACAGATTATAGCGAGTTCGCTTGAGTACAGTGATATCAGCACCGCAGAGATATTTGCTCCAATATAGTGTACAGATTGAATATGAAGGTTGTGTCAGTCGATAATGTGGTAGGAATAGATGAATGTCTTGTTCACACATGTAAATATAACCGAGAAAGATGGCTTAAACATGACTGGGTAACCAGCATAAATATATTTTAATAAATCATAGATTCATGGTGCATACGACTGAATTATGAGGAAAGAAAATTTTCAGGTCAGAAGAATCTATCCTACCAGTTATAAAAAAATGACTAGAATCAGTAACTACAATAAAACATAGATGCTTTGAAGTTGTACATGCTGTTATCTGAAATGGATTTCCCCATCAAGCTACTATTCACTAAAAGAACTTTGTTGATCCGATAACTGAGGTCCAAGCAAACAAGTTGGAAATATGTGGAGTCATCTTAGAATGTCGTTAAGTACTCTAGGAGAATCACAACGGGAAATGGTGTGATCTCATCGAGATGAATGGCGATCCAAACAATGGTATAGTTCCAAAGATGATAAATCTGTTGAAAATCTTGATGTTTTTATTTGTCATTTAAAAAAGATTTTTAAAGTGCAAATAAAGTACCATTTTCCTTAATAATTACGTTGTCCTTCATATACTCGATTCTGATTAGTCAGTGTACACTAGAACTTGATTAATCATCACCAAGGCTTAATCGAACCTATTACCAATCTGCAGTCACCAATAATCTGCTGTACAGTTTTTTCTTAGAGTCTTTTAAAATGTTCGGACAAGATTACTTGTTCTCAAAATATGAGGTTGATAGTCTATGGAAGGGAAGTGAACTGTAGATTGTCCACGATTCAAAAACATTTTGGATGTACTTTGTAAGTTTTTGTATAAGGAATTTTGATACACAACTCCCCAGTTCTTTTTGCATACCTCCATCCATTCCTATTGTTGGTACGAATATCAGATTTCGAAGATTCTTTCAGTCATTTGGACGACTAATGAAACTTGAAGATTCACCGAAACTAATCTGCTTATTGTTTCTCACTGATCTAATTGCTACTCAGCCTTTTCTCTTAAACTACATGAAATCAATTGTCTTTCAGGGAAGAACATGAAAAGTTTCCTCTTTTATGGACTAGAAATAAACCATCGTGACAACAAATCCTTCGAATAATGTGATATCAACTGTTTGAACGAAAAGTTTACGAAAAACTTATAATTTATGAATTTCTATTTCCTGAAGGCATAGTCTTACCCAAACACAGTTTTACTATTCAAATCACTACTATTATTCAAATAGTTAGTCATACTCACGCCTCCACAGAAGTCAGAATCGGAAAAGCAAGACAGGCGTTCATTAGCCTGAAACCAGTGTGGAGATCTTCCGCACTCAGCATGTGCAACAAGATACGGATTTTAAACACCAACGTCAAGTCAGTGCTTCTATATGGCTCAGAGACTTGGCGCGTTACGAAAGGCATTTCCAATAAACTACAGACATTCATCAACAACTGCTTACGCTCGCTACTGAAGATCAGATGGCCAGAAAGAATAAGCAACAAGGAGCTCTGGGAACGAACCAACCAAGAACCTATCACACAACAAATATGTAGGAGGAAGTGGAGACGGATTGGGCATACACTGAGAAGACCGACTGGGGACATCACGCGTCAGGCCAGTCACTCGAGTGGAATCCCTATGGGAAGCGACGAGTTGGGTGTCCGAGGGTGACATGGAGGAGATCGTGCGAGGAAGAAATGAGAGCTTCTGGGCTGTCGTGGAACCAGGTTCAAAAAATCTCAGAGAACGGAGTGGAATGGAGACGTGCTACTGAAGTCCTATGTTCCATTAGGAACCCAAGGGACTAATAATAATAATAATAATAAATACGCCTCCACAGAATTAAAATGTTGAATACGGCATTTTTAAAATTGTACTTTACAGCAGAAAAACAAGACTGTTTCACTTTAGATGTCGAATTTTTTTATATTTTTAAAGTAAACAAAATAATTAGTGTTTGAAAACAGAAACAAAATGATGCATATTTATACAAAAATAAATTAAGTTGATTTTTTCTATTAGAAGTTACACTGGTTCACATGAAATTTGTCATGATCAGATGTACGAAATCACTTAGTTATTCAACAGTTTCTGCTGGATTATTCGGAGCGCTGTAAGAAATTGTGTGTAACAGAGAGGGAGAGATAAATTCTGACTGCGTCAAAGTAATTTCAGCTAAATAATGTATAAAACTCGGACAAAATAGTTCTGACGTTGGTTGGAATTTTAAAAATGTCATATCACAGCACAGATGACCTAATAAACATTTCGATTCCTGAATTGTTGTTGGTTTTCTTGATATAAATTAGCTAGCAGATTGATTATAGAGTAAGGGGACAGTGATTGATTTCGTGAAAAAATCTGTTAGTCTGGCCACGCTAGTGTCAACAATACGTCACTTTCGAAATCGTTTATCTGACTACTTAATTTCTAATAAGTAGTTCAAATATTTATTCACAAAATCACAAATGTTTGGTAACCTTATTTTTGGAAAGTGACACTTAACATACATTTAGTACCTTAAGGAATACTTCAAAAGGAAACTCAATCTAGAGCTTGAAGTCCAGCTGATTTTACGTGTAGTCTCCCAATAATCATTTTGCTTGTCTATACTTACCCATCTCTGTTAGCGCATTGGCTGGCTGAAGGGAAGCCTCCGTATGTTCTTGAGTTTTATCTTACACGTGGTGGTGAATACCAGTGGAAAGTGTAGTTATTCACAAACGTGACACTCATTGCACAAGACATTGAGGCTGTAAATCGGGGAATAACGTTCTGTAGATGGAAGTAATGTGCGATGGATACAAGTCTCAGTAGGAATATGATCACTCATTGGGATGCACTTGCATTCAGCTGCGAAGTTCGAGACAGGGTAAAAGAATGCCTCGTAGATTCCACTGCGCATCAGAAATCCAATCGTACACCCACTGACAAAAACTCACTAAATGTCTACTAATGTTCGAAATAACCCTAGATTAAAGACTTACTGTCTAATGAATACTCAGTAACTATAGTTTGTAAGTCGTATATTTTGCATGCAATGGGCACTTTGTCTCACAATCAAAATATGTAATACACTCGATTAACTGTATCATTAGTTCTTCGTTCTGAAATCCATACATTTAGATATATGAAATTCATGAGAAAGTATCAGATTTATCCATACAAGTTTAGTGTACAGGTAACCAAATAAGATATAAAACAGTTTACTTTGTAGACTTTGAATTAATTTTCTCAATAACCTATTGTATGTATACTCACCTTTTCAGTAAGACAGTATACTTTGCAGTTTTACTGATACATTTATGCAACTGACTGACAAGTTTCTCCAAATCACGACGTAAACTATTTGTATTCCCATTTGATGCTGAATCCTTATCAGGAAAACGAATTTTAATACGTAGGCTATCTTCTTTATTTACAATATCTTGCATTTCTAATTTCAGTTGAAGAAGTATCTGCAACACAAGTGAAATAAAAATGTTGAATTTTGGAAATTTGATGAAGTGGAACATTTTAGGCGGTGAATTAAAAAACAAGATTTTGGTTTGTAATACAAATGATTCCTGTGGAAAATATCAGCTCACTTAATAGAGTAGAGTACTGTAGTAAGGTATAATTCAACGTATTCTCCAAAAAAATGTCTAAACTGTAAATTTCTTGATTTCTATTGGTTCAGCATTGTTAAAAATAAGTTGACTTATGATAAGATCTTTCAAGAATGCCTTCATTATTCAACAAGTGCATTCTTCAGACTGTTCTGAAGATAAATTCCTGAAAGGTAGTCTTACTGTAAGTAAACTGGTAGAATAACTCATAGTGTATGAAACTTTTAGTGTTCTGTTTGTACTCACTTCTCAAAAATGGTTGATTCTAAATGAAATGGATTGATCCACTTACATACTACATCTACTATCACTCATGATATTCCTGATTGTGGTGGACTGGACCATGCTACAAACAGTGAGGAGCGAGAAGAGGGAGATAAGCTGCCTCGACTGGGGTAAAGATTGTAGAAGGAGATTGGGATTTCGCCGATGACTTGTGTCTGATGTTTTGTGGCGGAAACGTGAAGATCTACAGGTGAGAACTGAGAAGGTGACAGATGAGGTGAGGCAGCGAAGACGGGACACCATTCAAGTGAATAAAGAGAAGACAGAGGTGATGAAGATACCCAACCAACACCACCACTACCACCACCACCAACAACAACAACAAGCTGCAATCACCATCAACAGGAGAAACTTAAAGGAAGTAGTCTCTTTCACCTATCTGAGCAGCACTGTTTCAACTACAGGCGGCGGCACAGACGAGGACGTCGAAGTCAGCCAGGATCGGAAAGACAGAAAGAGAAGGGGTTCATTAACCCGAAACCAGTGTGGAGATCTTCCGCACTGCACTCAGCATGAAGCATGAACAACATCCGGATTTTCAACACTAATCCAGTCAAGTTAGTGCTGCTATATGGTTGAGAGACTTGGCGCGTTACGAGAGGGATTTCCAACAAACTGTAGACATTCATCAACAACTGCTTACACTGGCTCGTTACTGAAGCTCAGATGGCCGAGAAATCGGAATAAACAACAAGGAACTCTGGCAATGAGGCAAGAACCTATCTCTCAACAAATATGCAGTTGAAGGAGGTGGAGATGAATTGGGCATGCACTGAGGAGACCGATTCGGGGACATCACGCAGCATGTCAGGTTGTCGAGTGGAACGGAGATGAGAAATGACGAGTTGGGTGTGCGAGGTGAGGGTGACATGGGGGAGATGGTGTGTGAGGAAGAAATGAGAGGTTGTTGGCAGTTGTGGAGTCAGGTTGATAATATTGCAGAGAATAGAGTGTAATGGAGACGTGCTAGTGAAGCCGTATGTTTCACTAGGAACCCAAGGGACAAATAATAATGATAATCAGAGTATAACTGCATAAACTGATTAGGTGAATGTAACTGAATTGAGTGTAGATCAGAGAATATGAAGCATAGTAAAACAAGTCCTTTCCTATTCAGTAAACACAGTTGTGTGCAAAGATTGATTTATCTTGATATTCATTCTAGCTAATTCATCACCATTCAGTCTAACGCTACTGTTACACCTAAAATTAAAATTCATGATAGCTAGTATGGTTTCAATAAATTTGATATTCGTTACTTTAGATATAACATTGAGTACTTAGCGAATACCATATCCACATTTGTTTATGTTCCTAATAATCTTTATAGTACAATGAACGAAAATAACTAATTCTTACAAATGGAAGGTATTTTAGGATCGTGCCAGATTCCGTGAAGTAACAGGAAAAGGTAAAGTTTAATTAGGATGCAAGAGTCCTCATGGTGACCAAACTAAGACATAGAAGCAGTGATTGGAGTTTCTGAGCTATGTTGGGAGATATAGACTACTTGTTTGAGGTTCCTGAGATGACAGGAATCAGTAGTTGAGGACTGTTGGTGATATGAGTGAAAATCAGTCACAATGTCGATGATTTACTCACTCTTTGATGTCTTGTAAAGCGGAAATATTTGCACTAACCTTTATCTTCAAACTGCTCATTATCTACTTTGATATCAGTCGTTTTCTGTCTACTTGTTTCTTGCATTGAACAGTGGCAGTTTGAAGGGATTTACCTGTATGCGAGGTTCTACGTTGATTCGTCTATCTCTGACCTAATGGAATGTCATCAGTATAACGCTCTGTTGTCCAAAAACTTGTTTCATGGTGGAATAAATAGAATGAACTTAATGATACATATGGAATCTGACTTTATGATAACAGTTAAACTCAGTGAGTCATTCAACTGATCGGTTGTTTCAAGTTTAACTTCGTGAGTTTTGCAGCTATCTTCATTATTATCAGGCAAAGTAAACTACATATAGATCAAGTTGAGGTGTTAATCAATTGTAGACATTTCATTGGATCCCAGAGATCCCTGAGAGTGTAGTTCTTGTTGACACTTCAACAATTCATCATTTGAGGAGTCCTAAACATGGATGAGACAGCTGTTTAGTTTCGCCAAGTTGCCAGTGGTTCTTTTGTTAGTACCAATCCTTAAAGAGAAGTACTTGTCAGCAAGATATATGTATAGGTCCAAGGGAACTGATACTCTGTCTAATAGACTTGAATGCATGTCATGCATCCTTGTGGCTAGAAAAACAACAACTGTGCCATTTGGCTTCTGTCTAACTTTACGTAAAAACAAATTAAATGCATTTATCAGTCATTTATCACTATGACTTAGTCACCACTTAAAACCCTACAACATTCTACTAATTCCCTCTACATGACCAACAGTGGCATCAATCAACGACATTTATAGTGCACGAAATCTATATTTCCTTGAAAAATCGGATCATCTAGTTTGACTAATTACATATCGCTCTGGCGTTTGAAGTTAAAGGTACTGGGTTCGAGCCTGAGCGGGATCAACACTCACTGGGGTGCAGGTCCATCCAGCTGACGAGTCCCATATAGGACGAAACGTGCATTCTGGATTCTTCTGCTTGTCACCAAGATCGATATAACTTCATGGATATCTGACAGTATCCAGGCATCCGCATAGGAGCCCATCTGTCAACAGAGGTCTAACAATTCGGTTCTGTATAGCCACGGGAAATTACAAGCATCATAACAACAACAATTGTTACCCGTTGCACAAGATGTGACTATAGCGTCTCAATGGTCCAGTGGATATCGTTCTGGTGTTTGGAGCGGAGGGTGCAGGGTTCGAGCCTAAGTAGGAACAACACTCACTGGGGTGCAGATTCATACAGCTGACGAGTACCAAATAGGACGGAACGCACCTTCTGGATCCCTTTTGATAGTCACCAAGAGCAGTACATAGCTTCAATTCTATCAACTGTTTCTGTCTCATAGGTATTTACTAAAATATGTAGCTGGTAAAATTTAGAACTGTGGACCTCAGTTCAGTGGTCATTGGTGTAGTGAAATATTCGTGTGATACAACTAATCTTCAAAAAACACTCGAAAGACATAACCAATAGTAAAGTCTAAAAAAGGTCACATATAACTGATAAGTTCAGTCCTATAAATAAGTAATACACGATAACAAACAACAAGTCTATTTTGGGTACTATTGTTATACTGGATCGGATTGTTCGACCTCTCTTGGCATATGGGATCCTATGCGGATGTCTATATATTGCATGAGCATTTATTCAGTGTTGAGGTGTATTTTAATTGTTTAGTCCCAGATTTTATATTTATTGTTATGCAGCTAGCAAAAGCATTGTTGTTAAGATAACATACCCTACAGCTAATCTTATTATTGCGGAAAAAACAAAACAAATGCTTCACCACTTATTATGTTACATCCTATTGTGTTTACCTTTTACATGTGTATGTGTGTAGTTGGATTTACATAGGGAGGGGTAATCTAGTCATACAGTTGAGGGTGAGGGAACATTCATCTTAGTACCTTCATAAATAAATGGAGTGTGAAAGCTTCATAAACACAGGTGGGGAACAATCCTCGTCCTCAGTAGATAAGTGTCACAAAATGATGTTAATAAAGCTTTCAAAGTTTCATTTAGAAACAGTCAGGCATACACGCTGAGATTTACGGAAACGATAGACAAATTAAAACCACCTTTATGTGTACAAAATCGATTTACTCTTACATAACACTCATCTTGGCAGAATTTGTTTTCTTACCAAGATTAGGATCAATTATGTTACACTTCCTGCTTGTTCCCATCTTTCTTAATTTTAATCCCCTATTACCTTTAATTGTTGTATTCGTCCTCCCACTGTTCAGTCTAATATTAATTCATTTTACAAGTAAATGTGTGATCAGATTTTTCGAAATGTGTCACTCAAATACAGGACATACTGTTCACACGGACTTAGTCTTCTAACTACATTATCTAAATTATGACAATAATTATTCCTGCAATATTGAGACATCTACATAGGAGACCACATACCAATAGAGGTCGATCAGTTCGTTTCAGTAGAACAATAGAGAATCACAAGTATATCAAGAAATAGTAACAACTAATAACCGTTGCATAAGAAGTGACTACGGCAGCTCAATGGTCTAGTAGATAACGCTTTGGATTCGAGTCTCAGTGGGAACAACATCAATCCGCACTGCGGTGCAGGTAAATTCAACTGACAAGTTCGTCCCAAATAGGACGAAACGTTCATTCTGGATTCCAGTACTAACCATAACCAAGTAAATAAATGCGAGTATGTTTGCTTCAACCTAGCCTGGTGAACGTAGAGAAGACCGAGGTGATGAAGATACCCAACCAACACCACCACCACCACCAACAACAACAACAACAAGCTGCAATCACCATCAACAGGAGAAACTTAAAGGAAGTAGTCTCTTTCACCTATCTGAGCAGCACTGTTTCAACTACAGGCGGCGGCACAGACGAGGACGTCGAAGTCAGCCAGGATCGGAAAGACAGAAAGAGAAGGGGTTCATTAACCCGAAACCAGTGTGGAGATCTTCCGCACTGCACTCAGCATGAAGCATGAACAACATCCGGATTTTCAACACTAATCCAGTCAAGTTAGTGCTGCTATATGGTTGAGAGACTTGGCGCGTTACGAGAGGGATTTCCAACAAACTGTAGACATTCATCAACAACTGCTTACACTGGCTCGTTACTGAAGCTCAGATGGCCGAGAAATCGGAATAAACAACAAGGAACTCTGGCAATGAGGCAAGAACCTATCTCTCAACAAATATGCAGTTGAAGGAGGTGGAGATGAATTGGGCATGCACTGAGGAGACCGATTCGGGGACATCACGCAGCATGTCAGGTTGTCGAGTGGAACGGAGATGAGAAATGACGAGTTGGGTGTGCGAGGTGAGGGTGACATGGGGGAGATGGTGTGTGAGGAAGAAATGAGAGGTTGTTGGCAGTTGTGGAGTCAGGTTGATAATATTGCAGAGAATAGAGTGTAATGGAGACGTGCTAGTGAAGCCGTATGTTTCACTAGGAACCCAAGGGACAAATAATAATATTAATAATATTTGCTTAAATTATATCCATGAAATAGTTGTGCATTACTGAGACAAACAATTTGGTATAACTATATATTTGCGTGAACAAATAATTCCAGCAGTTGGTGTGATCATGGGTAGTAATTTTGCTTGAAATATTACGAAAACTAAAGAATACCACTGTGTTCAAGTATTCATTGGAAATATATTTAAAACATATTAGTCATAATTACTACTTATTCATATACTTGTTATTCTCCGTTGTTTTGTTGGATCGAATTATTCGACCTGTATTGACATATGGGCTACTATGTGGATGCCTCGATATTGCCTTAATGTTAATAATGATAATTTGGTTGGTTGTGGCTAGCAGAAGAATCCAGGACACGCGTTTCGTCTTAGACACACACATAGTTATTTTAAAGTGACTTTGTGTCGAAGAAATCACTGTTGGTTTTATCGACAATTTGTTTGATTAGTTTTTGATGAATTCTTTCAGTGATTCCCTAACACTAATGAATATATTGAAGTAAGCAACAGTATATCTTTCAACAAACTATTCTGAAACTAAATTATGTCATATACATTTCTGGTTATTTTCTTTAGTGATATCCATGCAATATTGTTCATATATCAAGAAAATTTCGTTAACTTGATCCAACTAAGAGAATAAGCGTGAAATTAAGATGTTTAAAGAAAAATTGCTATGTAATATAAAAAATATATAGAGATTTGTAGCAAAGCAGCTCAACGGATAACGATGTGTGCTAGCTTCTAGCGAATATCCGTAGAATGGGATCCAGGTTCATATCTAGTTGACAAGTGTCAAGTGGAGGAAAACACAACTTCTGAATTTCCTTTGGTATCCATTATCAAAATATAACATCCTTCAAAGTATTTAAAGAATACGGATTGAAGAATTCATGTAACTTGTAATTCCAAACTTAGCATATCAAAAAAACATTGAAGATAATATATATATATATATATATATATATATATATATATATATATATATATATATATATAATATTGTCCACAGAATTGAATAATTACCTGAATCAATGTCTCATTTGAACAGTCCGCTTCAATGGCTTCAAATAAACATTCATCATCTGAACTGGAAAAAAAATTAAATTAAGAATATAAATTTTTAAAAATATCATAACCTATGCTTGAATACTGTAAATAATTATCACTACTGAGCTCTGTATATACACAATATTTCCATTTACAGTGCTGCTACCACTACTACTACTACTACAACCACTACTACTACTACTCACACTACTACTATTATTTGTTGTGGTTATTCTATCCTATTGGAGCACGTTTGGTATTAAATTTAATTAGGTTAATAATTAGTACTGAATTAAAAACCTTTCACTTTAAAACTTAGCTAACAAATTAGACGTTGTAATATAGTCTTTATCATTTTTGAGGAATATTTGGAAATGTAGATTACCAACCTAAGGAATCAACTTTGAACTGTACTGTGCATATTCTCACCTGACCAACTATACAGTACAGTAAGCCCTATCATTTTGAGTGTAGATCAAAGCCTATGGACAGAAACGTCTGTACCGGGTTGAGTTACGTTAAGCAGAAAATGGACAGTATATGTGCTTATAACAATAAAACCTCTAATCCAACACCTTTAAATTATGATAAAATTTTCGTATAAAAAGGATTGTAATAGTATTAAGACTGCAGTTAGTGAAAGAGTAGATTATGTCATTGGTTGAGAAGATGGTCGTTTTTCAGGCAGTATGAAAACATTCTCAGTCGATTACATACTACTCACACTACTACTACTACTACTACTACTACTACTACTACTACTACTACTACTACTACTTAGTATTACTATTATTATTCATCTACATCGATGAATACTAACAATAATTCTTCCTTCTGAACCTAGTTAAGTATATGTTGGGGGATAGGCATTAAGTGTATTTAATAAAAACTGTAAATCATTTGGAGCTGTTGTAGACTTGAATAAATCTACAGGATTGTCTTTCCCTATTCTGTATCTAACCATCAGATATCTCAACACACTGAGTTGTTTAAGGCAACGGTGGGAGCCAAAAGGATTCAGATTTACTAACAGAATATATTTTGCCAGGTTACGAAATCGATCGCCGTTAATTTACGTTAGCAAACTTCAGTTCATAAAAACAACATGAACCATTAGTTGAAGACTTGAGAAGATATGTTGCATAAATGCAGATAGCCTTGATTTGGTTGACTAGTGTTATCAAGGGTGGATGAGTATTGAAGTTGAAAACTAGTAGGATTCTAGGTTACTGATATAGTGGTTTACCAACTAAACAACAAAATCTAACAGGTGAGCGGGTCTTACTTTCATTTCAGTCATCGCGGATTTCGCTTAACATCTGGGACTCACATGAAACTGGGTAAAGGCCTCGGTGGTTGAACTGAAATTTATATCTGGTCTTCAGCTGGGTTTCGTAGCTCAAGTGGTAGATCATCGAAGGTCACTGGTTCGAACCCTACCACAACCTAAGTCTTCATTTCACTTTCATTCATTACTCACAATCGATAGATAACGAACTGTCATATACTAAGCTGCATCATTCCTATGTGAATGTGGACTATCTCTAGAAGTCACGGAATTTTAACTGCCAATTACTTTTCTGATTAAGCTATAAATCTCAAGGAATTATTTGACTTTCTGAAGTTGATTTAAATATATAACAAGTCTTATCAAATGTTGGTTGATACTTGTAATTTCCCGTTAGTATACAAGGCCGAATTAATCGACCTCTGTTAACAGATGGGCTCCTATGCAGAGGCCTCGATGCTGTCCGGATATTGATATAGGGTTCGAGTCTCAGTGGGGAAAACATCACTTACTGGGGTGTAAGTACACCCAGGTGGCAAGTGCCGATTAAGATGAAACCTGCGTCCTGGATTTCACTGCTACCTATCACATAGACTACGAAACTTAGCACGGTTAGTGAAATCTAGCAAATCCCTCTACATGTTAATCATGTCACATTTTATGCCTACAATATGGTTGAACAAGTTACTTAATACCTCTTAATTGCTTAAATCTATATTCACTGTGGAATAACTGAAGTTTTATTTGACCAGTACAATACTACCAGTGAAAGAAATCCTTACGATCATATTCATGACATTCCATCAAGTACCTAACAGGAAAATGATTATTAGACAGTAGATTTGAAGTAAAAAGTCAGCATAGCCTCTTTAATGAAACTTATAAGAATATATATAAGTGGTGTACATAGCAACGTCAAGACTGATAATGGCCGATTGGTGAGGCATCATTTCAAGCAAATATAAAATATCAGGTACAAATATAAAGTGCAAGAACAGAGTGAAATGAGAGGCATAGAACAAGAGATTGTTTGAAAATGGATAACATATTGTTGATTTTCGTGTTCACACCATTATCAGTTGCATTTTCTGAACAATGTCATCTGCTACATTGAACTCCTTTTCAGTACTCCCTGAGGACACTGAAAGACATTTGTGGTATATACCAAATTGACTGCGTGTGTAAAATATAAGTAATTATTCAATTCACATTAAATGATTCGGTTGTGAGGAGATTATGCACCCAATGGATCATATTGAGCTCAGCGCTGTGTGGCAGAAGAAGGGTTGAACAGAAGTGAAAAGTGACTTTTCAACTATCCTATTACTGATTTCAGACTGTGATTAAAATATTTTTGAAATTTTATCGTTTATTTATAAACCACATGCCTGAACTCTTCTGGATGCTTTTCGTAAAATAGACGATATTTATCAATGTTATACACAGCCTTGGATAAAAAGGGTATGGTAGTATGAAACAGTCAGTGAAACAACCGACGAACTTAAGACTCATTATAATTTTGGTATTGGACAGAATCTTTGAATAATTTTAGCGCGGTTTTCACCATAGATTGACATCAGTGGTTGAAAATAGGGGGGGAGGGGTATTGAACTCTCTTTTTTTCCCGGGTTCGGACTTTTCTGAAAAGTACGCACACGACCTCATCTCACAGAGACAACTGGCAGTCGTGGATTTTATCCTTCACAGGGTCGTGGGTGTGTACTCCTGATGAATCATAAATTATAACGAAATCAGTTGATGTCTTACAAACATAACTGAATTCTTTATTCCAGAAAACAAATAATTTTATTTTCGAGATGAATGGGGATTTTTTTAATTTAGAAGTAGTATTCATTATGGACTGACATCAGTTGGGGAACTATTGGAAATCTGGGAGCACTGGACGGCTGTTTCACCCTAGTAAGGAACTCCTCGGCAGCGGGGACCCACGAACCGGCTAGGGATAGGACTCAGGACCTTCAGGTTTCACGACGAACGTGTTAACCATTCTGCCACTAGGTCAGTTTCCAGTGGTTCACAATTTCCAACTTCTAGCAATTCACAATATAGCGCGACTATCACCCAAGGTCTTCAGTTAGCATCCACTTCACCTCCGACTGGTTGACCCCACAAATCACGGCTTCTTATTAGAGCTTCACGATATCCATCTGGAAAGAAGTCACTAATGAGTACTATACAGTGATGTATTTCTGAGATGAGATGATTGGTGATGGTAACTGAAGACCTTCAGTGATAGTCGCACTATATTGTGAATTGATAGAAGTTGGAAACTGTGAACCACTGGAAACTCACCTGGTGGCTGAATGGTTAACGCGTTCGTCGTGAAACCTGAAGGTCCTGAGTTCGATTCCTAGCCAGGTTATGGGTGCGTACTGCTGAGGAGTCCTATACTAGGACGAAACAGCTGTCCAGTGCCCTCGGGTTCTCAATGGTTCCTCAACTGATGTCATTCCATGATGAATACTACTTCTAAATAATTTTATCTTTAGCAGAGGAAACCAAGGAGATTAGCTGAATATCATTGAAAAGCACATTTTTTGATAAACTATTATTGAGTAAGTACAGTTTCTTATCTATGCAACGCAATTATAGTGCAGAGAATTCTAAATGATATTTGATGTAACTAACATTCTGCTTATTGACTAAAAGTATATACTAAAAGACACTTATCAAGATATATATTCAAATTTTAGTATTACCTCGACAATTTGTAATCTGAAGTGGATTTTTCTGAGGCTTCTTGTTTCAGCATCTTCCAGGTAACCTAAACACGACATTAACACAATTATTCTTTAATAAAGTTCACAAAGTATTATTTATAACTGAAAATTATGTCAAATATGCATTAAACAAACTTTGTTTAACCCTGCAGTATGTGAAAATTAGCAACAATTCGAATAATAATAATAATAATACCAACCTGACCGATTTGATCGACGCTTAAGCCATAATTCATAATATTAACTATTTGACGTGCTATATGAAATAAATGCTCACGTTGTGTAACCAATTCAGGAATTTGTTGTACTAAACGATTTGTTATCTCATTAATAGTAATCTCAAAGTGTCTTAATGGTCTGGTTAAACGTTTAGCTGTATCCATGCGTCCAAATATCATTGAATGCTTTTTCAATCCATTAATTCTATTTGAATCATTCTCTGGTAATTTTAAAATTTCCTAAAATATTTATTAAAAGGAAAAATAAAATATGACATTGAAATGAGGATTCTATTCAAAGAAAGATATACAAAAATTCAATTAAATCTCAAAATATTCCTAGTCTGTAAACTATTTAAAGAAATACAGGTTTGAATTTATCATAGACTTACATCTGTTGAAAGGATATTAGAAATCAATGAGGAATGAGTGAGACTCCACAGCAGTGCTTAAACCTCACTCCGCACCACTAGGCATCAAAACCAGTATCATCAGGTTCCGTGGCCAGCAGGTTACCACAGATCCACAGGGTAGCAATCCAACGCTCGAAACCTATTATAGCAAACTTCGTAACGTGGTTTCCCAGTGAAACATAGGGCTTCAGTAGTATGTCGCTGTTTCGCTCTCTTCTCTCCAGTCTTTTCAGCCTGGCTCCACCACTGCCCACAACCTTTCATTTCCTCCATGTCACCCTCGGACACCCAACTCACCGTTTCCCCTATGGATTCCACTCGACGGCCTGACAAGGGATGTCCTCAAATGCTCTTCTCAGTGTATGCCCAATCCATCTCCACTTCCTTCAATTGCATATTCTTTGGGTGATGGGTTCTTGGTTGGTTCGTTGACATGTCAGAGTTCCTTGTTGCTTATTCTTTCTGGCCATCTGATCTTTAGTATCTAGTGAGAGTAGATGGCAGCTGTTGATGAATGTCTGCAGGTTACTCAAGTCTAAAATGGTCTTACTTATGACTTTTCTAGGAATTAAGCGTAAAACCCCAAACTTGTTTTAGAAAATTTGTTACATAATAATCAGTTTTGAAAAATGACTAGAGAAGGGGAAAAAAATAATCTCACCTGAATTTCTTGTTCATTTGAATTTCGTGGATTTGGTTTCCTGATATAAAATTTAGGTAGATATGGTATTAATGCATTGATAGCAAATTCTAATTTAATATAATCTGATTTCATTAATGTAGCACTTGGACGTACTTTCAATAAATCTTCAGAATAATTTGTTGTCATCAATAATTGTGGGATATTAATCTGTGTACATGTAGTTAAATCTATTTCTGAATTACTAGATGAAGGGATATAAGATATCAATGTAGAAGGTTGTAAATTTGATGGTAATGATAGTTGTGGAAGTGGTGAATTATTTCTTGAAATAATATTCTCTGAATTAGGACTATCTATTGTACTTTGTGTTGGAGATTGACTTGTCTCAGTTAGATCATGATTAGTTACTTGATTGTGAGGATTACTGTTGTTATTGTTAAGATAGTGATGGTGTTGGTTACTTTCATGAACTAATTGTTCAACTGAATCATTGTAGCCAGATAGTCTTGAAATAGGTGAATTAAATGATGCAGTAACAAGATTCTCGAAGGTAACTGAAAATTAATGCAAATGATTTAAGTAAATTGACAACTATATCACTATAATAAATAATTTTTTTTTCAAAAATACTCAGACTTAAAAGTCACCATGCACAATAATGATGATATTCACATCTGATTCCCCAAACAGTTTCATATGAGAGGATTTATTTATTGATTTCATTCATTACTGACTGATATTACTTGGAGAATTTGGTAGCACTAAATAACTGTTTCATCCTAAGATGTAACTCTTCAGTATTAGACACCCAAGAACCCAGATCCTTTAGGTTTCGTGTCCAGCACTTTACTATTGTTCCGCTGGGTCGGAACCAAATGATCAACATTCTGGTGAATAATCTAATCAAGGATGGAAAGTATTCTTGTTACACATTGTGGAACAATATTACTGAATAAGATGAAATAGTGAGAAACAGATAAAAACTGGTCAAAGGGAATCAAAATGGCCTTAACGACCACGGACACACTCATCCAGTAGACAATGAACCACACTTATGAAGTGAGGGCTAAAGATACTACATGACTGCTCATACTTTGCTAGGTGGATCCAATGGTTGAAAACCAACTACATAAACCAACATAAACCAACTGATGTCAGTCTACTATGAATAACAACTTGAAATAATTCCAAATCTCCACAACTCCCTCAAAATTTAATTGAACTGGTGCTCATTGGTGACTAGCTTCGAGAAGTATTCCCGAAGTTCCAATGAGAAGTCGTGACCGGTGGAGTCAAAGCCTGATAGCCATGAGGACAGATACTCAGTGTTGACATTGGGTGGCGGTTGCGCTATGTATCGTGAGCTAACAGAAGTTGGAAATATGGAGCATTGGATTCTGACCCAGTGGCTCAATGGTGACGCGCTGGCCGCGGAACCTGAAGGTAGCGGGTTCGACCCCTGCTGGTGGGGTCGTGGGTGCGCACTGCTGAGGAGTCCCATACTAGGACGAAACAGCTGTCCAGTGCTCCCAGGTTTCCTTTGTTCCTCCAACTGATGTCAGTCTACGATGAATAACAACTTGAAATCATAGCCCAATAAAAAAAACTGATGAATTAGTGTGTTCATATCTCACTGAAACTAATCAAATTTATCATTTATCCAGCTGACAGCTTTGCACACCTCATCAGCCCAGTCATGATATGTGTTAAAAACTAACACAAAGCATTTTAAAATCAGATACACTGAAAATCAATTTTATTCTGTTTCAGAGCATTTCAGTAGCTTTCTATACTCATGCCAGGTCTTGAGACCTATCGAATGAATAGCCTATTCATCAGTCCTTATCACTTCATCTAAAAGTAGGAACTGTCAAATATCCTAAAAGAAATTATGATGTTTGCCTTTGTGTAAAAATGCGTAGCAGAACTTAATGAATATTTGGACAGCATTGAATCAAGGACGTGCGTCCCATCCTATTTGGGACTTGTCAGCTGGATGTACCTGTACCCCAGTGATTTTGTTCCCACTGAGACTCGAACATCGTACGTATCGCTTCAAACGCCAGGGCGTTATCCACTATGCCGTGGAGGAATGATAGTCATTTCTTGTACAACGGGTAGTCGTTATTACTATCTATTGGCATACTTGTTATTCTACGTTGCTTTGTAGGAACAACATCAATGGGGGGCAGGTACTTCCAGCTGACGAGTCCCAAACAGGACGAACCGTGAGTCCTAGATTCTTCTGCTATCCACAACCAACCAAATTATCATTATTAACATTAAGGCAATATCGAGGCATCCGCATAGTAGCCCATATGTCAATAGAGGTCGAACAATTTCATCCAATAAAACAACGGAGAATAACGAGTATGCCAACAACTAGGAAATTATGATGTTTGTCTTTGTGTAAAAATGCGTAGCAGAACTTATTAGCTGTGACACAAAATTGTGGTGAACAAATATCAACCTATTCATCGTATGCAAACACTTAACAGTGGTATGACATTGTGACTAGTAAATACAGTCCAAACGAATATCACATCGTATGTTCGAGCACATCGGTTAAACAGCCAAATAGCCAACAAGATACTGTCATATTCAGTAAAAGGGAACTTCTGTTGTTTTCATGATGAATATAAATTCATTGCTCCATATACTACTGATTTTCGCACTACTGAATAAGGCAATTCTAACACTTTTTAACCGATCCCTCAGTTTTCAGAAACATATTTCAAAGGGTGAACAAAGTAACCATTACGTCACTAGCTGACTTAACAAAACTATGATGTCTTTCACCTCTTTCCCAGTCTCTCTCTTGATCAAGTCATTGTTGACAAGCGATAGACACAAAGTTGAAAGTCTAGGTTAGTGTTATCTAGAGATGAATTATGTAATCATCATCATCATCATCATCAAAATTGTCGTTATCCTATGATTGACCTTTGCTCTGAACATTCTGCACTCCTTCGTTCACACACACACACACACACACACACACACACACACCGAAAGCACCTCCTTTGAATAGGATGAAAAGTGAATGGGAACAAATGTGACAGATAAAGGGCCTGTTTGTTATCAGTATAATAAATGACGAAAAGATGACACAACTCTCCACACCCATACATCAAAACCCATATCAAATAGCTGAATAAATCAATTGTCACACACAACAAAGTATTCTTAAGTGGTTCATGTTTTCACCTTCGCTGTTTTAATCTGTACGGCTGATGTGTAACATCACAAATACGGCAATTCTGTGAGGCTAGATTATTTGATTTGATTACTAACTAAAATCTATCAGGATACTTATCGTTTAAATTGGTCACTGGCTTTGATTACCTGACCGATTAGGTAATCGGCTTTCATCACTAAGACTTGACAACTCTTGAAGGATAAGTTGCATTCATCTTGATGATTAGCAGAGGGATCGAGGACACTTATTTCGTCTTGTTTTGGACTCTTCGAATGTATGTACCTGCACTCTAATGAAGAACGTTGTTCCCACTGGGATTCGAACCCAGTAGCCATAGCTTCAAAAGCTGATGAGTTGTTCACTAGGTCAATGGTGCATGAGGAGCCCCTGTTGTGTTTGATACTTGTAGCTTTCCTGTTTCTATAAAAGGGTTACCACTCAGAACTCAAGCAATTCGACCCAGTATAGCAAAAGGAGTGAATAGGTGTTATGTATTGGTCAAAGTCTTCTCTGAAGCATAGAACCCTAGTATCTCCAAAGGCTTCATCAAATGTTGTCAGGTTTCATAGTGGACTTTTCATTGATGAGTTATTTGGTTTACAAGTAATCAGTGACATTCTCCAAATTTATTATTTTAATATTTTTATTTCCTGATGAATGTAAAAACAAAAATCGACGTTTAAGGATGACCATTTTCAGGAAGGCAATACATTCGAAGAAATATTCAGGTTTCAGTTCATCATATCTAATTAATGCGACACTTTCTGTTACCTCCAGTCTTTTGAGGAGAGGATGAAAATAATGAGTTAAGAAATTAAAATACATGGACAAAATACTTGAAACGATTAATTACCCAGTAAATTTCATTCACAAAATAGAAAATTAAATCGTAGAACTACTCATAAGTCATGGAACTTGACAATAGTTATCCTTTACAGATCACTCATATTGGATGAAATTAGGAGAGTGCTCAACACATACAATGTCAAAATGTTCTATACAACATCAAACACATTGCAGAGTACCTTAGTTCATTTGAAGGACGAGATCCCTCTAAATTCACCATCCAATCGTATTCATAAAATAAAATACTCAGACTGTGATGTAATATACATATGAGAAATTTCCTGTGAAATCAAAATTAGGAAAAATGAATACCGTAGAGCTTCCATCCAAGCCTCTGTAACCTCAGCGGAATTGAAAAAACTTGAAGACATATCAGCCTTAGTTCTACATGTTATAATTTCAGGTCAAAAGGTCGATTTTGACGATAGCGAAATTGTTCAGCAAGGCTTTAGAAATTATAAAGAATGTCTCATGTCAGAATCTGTCCACATTAAATGGAATCGAAACTGTTTAAATAGGAATGAGGAGATGAAAAGTAGTTTGACTTGGTGTCAACCCACCCCCACATACTGACTGACATAACCAACACATATGTACATACAAATTTCAATCTGTAATTGATACACTCTTTACACAGAACACACTACATATGGATATCATCTTTATTCTACAATTGTGACAAAGGAGTATCATTCAGGTAGAAGAACACTTGTCAAGTTATCAATCATATATAAGCTTGGATATTGTAAATTCCAGTTAACTATAACTTTGATAAAGCTACTTGCAGTGAATTGCAAAACGTCAGTTGAAACGAGTTTTTTTTGTTTTACAATCATTGGGAAATACAAATACCAAAATAATGAAGGTCATTTACCCAATGCCCAAATTTTTTAAAAGCATCAAATCCCAACTTTGTTTGAATATCTGTAAATTCTCCAAATTTAGATAATTTGTAATATGTATAATCTGTCAATGATGGATCGTGGCTAGCAGCGGAATCCATGATGCGCATTTCGTCTTATTTAGGACTAGTTAGCTGGATTTATCTGCTTCCCAGTGAGTGATGTTATTCCCAACCGGATTCGGACTCCCGAGCGGTTGCTTCGAACGCGAGAGCGTTATCCACTACACTACCGAGCCACGATAGCCACTTCCTGTGCGACGGGTATAGTTTTTTTTAGTATAATTGTTTTTGTATCATACTGTCGTTGATTGGACCGAATTGATCGGTCTCTATTGGCATATGCACATCTTGGATTCCACTGCTAGCCACGATTCATCATTAACATAATTAGAACGCTGGCAATGTCTAGGCATCCGCACAAGAGCCCGTATGCTAATAGAGACCGATCAATTCGGTCCAATCAACGACGGTATGATATAAAAACAATTATACTAAAATATGTATAATCATTAAATACGTAAACTGTAAGCCATTGGATTCTGTCACAAGAGTTGGATATGAATATATTATCCTCTGTTACGAAACAGGGCAAAGTTTAATTATGAACTAAGATATAGGGTGTACCCAACTGAAAGATGCTAGTCTACGTAGAAATGAAGGATGTTCAAATCCCTATTGAACTTCAACAATTCCTTAGCTCATAATATTTGATAGGTGTCAGTTCATACCACAGTTTGATATGAGAAGGAAGTTCATTGAGGTTTTGTAGCGCAGACTGAATTAACTGACATTATCTATATGTTGTGTTTAGTATAGTCAGTAATGTTTTGTTTTAAAAATCCCTAGTAGTTAGGTCATAAAAACCCAGAGGTAATGATAGTTATTCTGGTAAGAAGCCGCTAACCTCGAGTGACTTTAAAGGCCACTCTAACAGCAACTGAAAAAATCAGTCAAACTTCTCTGTTTTATGAAAGTCTGCGTTTCCAACAGAAATGAAGAATCTCGATTGGTTGGTCCGATCGTTGCTAAGATGGTCTTTAAAATCGCCCCGACTTATCATATCATACCCTCTAAACTACTGGTCTTTTGTATTCATAAAGCTACCAAGGTAGGAGTCTCACCATCACCGTGCACTGAGACAGAAGTTATTTAGATGGAGGCAGTCGGTAGGAGACACTGGACCTAGGTTTCGTACTTTCTAGCACTCGTCAGCAAGGTCTTGTCTACAACATCGATGGAACTGATATCCCGAACCCATGTCACCTAGTGTTGAAATCACAGGTGTTACCAATGAGCTATCTGGGTAACATCTGAGACGCGGATTTGAATCTCAGGCAGGTTGCAGGTATGCCTTGCTGACGAGTGGCAAAAAACATGAAACCTTCCTGTCGGTTGCCTCCATCCAACTAACACATATGTCAGTTTATATTATGACAGACATCATCTTTACTTGTAGCAGAATTCTGGAAGTATACTGAATCATTAGGATAGATCATCTTCACTCAAAATGTTTTGTTAGAGAAGTGATGTATATCCACTGACAAACTGGCTATTTTAGACAACTTCTATAAGTAGTTTATTAAAAGTATATGCGAAGCCCACGACTTCATGATACATAAGGATGCCTTCTGTTATTAAAAACTGAGATTAAACTGAAATAGTCTAATGACTAGAAATGAGGTATGAAATCTACGTAGATTTATTGACCAAGAGAAGAATAAAGATCATTAAATGGCTTAATTGAGACTCAACTCAAGGAATCCTTTACCACAGTCCCTTAAAATTATCCAAGATATTTGAGACTTCAACATCATCATCATCAATATCAACATATGACCAGGCATTAATGCGTAATCATCCGAGTTGCCACACCTCATATCAGTACATCAAGTAGAAATGTAGTGAGGTGAAAGATGAAAATAAGAAAATTCAGTCAAAAGAAATATAAAGTACGAGAAGAAAAAAAGGAAGAATGACAAAATGGTGAGAACCGGTATAGTGTTAAGATGAGGATAATGTGTGTATACATCTGCGCCACTCACATCGGTTCTGAGCCATATCACCTAGGGTCTCCAACCACTGGTTCCTCTTGTCCGGTGGACCCCAACCACCTAGTCTGCATCGCCTCACGTGGCCCAAACCAACAATCAAAGACTTCATAAATTGATGTCATGTTTTAGTTTGACCACCAGCCTGGACCTACTTCGGCCAACGTTGTGTGACGAGGCAGTCGGTGACTAGGGATACGTAATACGTGTTCCAGTCATCTCAGTCGACTAAGGTTCATAACCTCGTCAACTAGTTTACCTCTGCTCCTTAAAACTTTATACCTGACTTCTGAATTACTTACGTGGTGACACCACAGAATACCGCCTATTCTACGAAGGCAACAGTGGTCAAACACTTGAAGCCTTCTCATGTCTTCCACCTTCAATGGCCATGTTTCACAGCCATACAGTAGAACAGAGTGGACTGCTGTGCAGTACATGCGACCCTTACTAGACAAACGGATATCACGGTGGTGCCATAGGTGACGTGAACTGGCAAAAGACAACCGAGCCTTTTGTATCCATGAAGAGATTTCATCGGCAACTGACCCACCCCCGACACTACCTCAGCTATACATAACACATGAAGTTAACTAATCAACCAATGAAATGTATTCCTGATACTCTAATTATTAACCGCTTGAAAAGAGTCCATAGACATCTTACTTGCAAATATTTCATTACATAATTATTAAACCTTATATGACTAACAGTCTAGTTTTATCTTGCACTCATTTGAAGTTGTGGTAGATTTTTTTTTCAGAATTACTCTGAGAAGATACTAAAAGACTGTCTCAGCGGAGATGTACTGATTACTGATGGATGAAGATCTATTGAAGTAAACACTGCAAATAAATTACACCGCAGCCATTGAACATTATTCAATATTTCCAGCTGATAAAATATTTTTGATATATTTCATATAACTTACCAAATTTATTATCATTTTCGTCTATTTCTGTCTTCATTGGTGTAATTAATTGTTGTTGATTTATAATTCCCATCGCTAAAGCTTGAAACATTGAATAATTCTGTGGATTATTTAATAATGCCCATTGATTTAAGATAGGATTTATATTTTGAAGATTTGTTGGAAGAATACACTGTGTTGTTGGAAGTGAATTAATTATTGATGGAGTTGGAAACATATTCAATCCTGAATATACTGTTGGTGGTAGAAATGGACACCAATTTGAAGATGTAAGAGTATTAGTAACAGAATCATGATTTAAAATTCTTTCATCTTGTGAATAATGAGAAGTAACTGAAAATGGTTCTTTATTATTTGTATATTTTTGTTGTTGACTTGTAGATGTAGTAATATTTTGTGGTGAATATTGTAAAAGTGCTTTTTTTAATCTTTGAATATGCAAAGGTTTTTTATCCATTCCAACTAATTTGATGAGTTGATTAAATTCTTTAGGATCCTTTAACAATTCAGTTAACTGTTGAACATCATCACCACCTTGAAAAGAATGAGTTAAACAAGAAAACAAATAAATGACAATGAATTACATAAATAAGAATTTTAATGAAAATGTAATGAACTGAAGAAATCTTGAAAACTTAGTCAGTAAATCTAGATTAGCATTGAAGGCCATTGTCACAATCCTGCGAAGCATAACAGAAATAAAGAATTATGGCTTATTGCCTGAAGGACTATGCTTCAGATCGACTGACCGTATGTACTTCAGCCTAGGCAATCAAGTAGAATCATAAACCAACAAACAGTAAGTCTAGTTCATGGTCTATTACATAAAGTATGTACTAAATATCTGAGTTACATTTTTGTTAAGTGTAGGTGAATGGTAGCTTTTTAAATTTCGAGAAAAAACTCCAGGACTTGCGTCAACAAGTTTGTTCTCTTGAGGATACTTTTGTACTTGCTGAATCGCCAATTCACTTCTTTGTTTTCCTCTTTTTCCTTTCGGATCCACGTGATCACGGCTAAACTCACACCGCTCTATAGCCCCCCTACCTACCAACCTAGAGGAAAGCCTATCAACAAGTGGTCATCACATTTTGGTGTTGGAAGTGGGAACTGCCTCGCTCATGGTCAAATCGACGTGCACCCAACAGCAGGGAATCGAATCGAGTGTAAGTTGTACCAGCTTCACACACCATACCTAGTCTCTAACTCACTCAGGTATAACCAGGAACTGAGTCAGTGCCTAAAAAGAAGGGGGATTAGTGTAACACATTCGGAAACTTATTCATTCATCTTCCAGTTTCGACTTCTAGACTGTCTCACCTCATCGCTGTCATGCTCTACCGTTGGTCAGTTGTCTTTTATTATTAAGTGTAAGTACATCCTGTGTACTTGCCGAGTCGCTGGCTCACTTTTTCGCTTCCTCTTTTTCTTTCCAGACTCTCGTGGTCAATCTCACACTGCTCTACACCCCTCGCAACAAAGTACCTACTTACCTATCTACCTATCTACACGTTAGACCAGAAGTTATCAACAGCTGGTAGCTGTATTCTCATATCAGTTCAATTTAGTGTGGCACTACTTCTCCCTATTTCATAATTATGATTACATTTATAAAGTGAAAACGGTCAAATAGCTTACCGATTTCAAGGAATATAGTGTGTTATGCAAAAGTCCCGCTTAGGTAGAGGAGTTAAAGAGAGTCAACTTCTTAGTTTGAATTCATTATGTAACGTGAAATCAGTTCCTGATTTCAAACATGAATAAATCATCAGATATTGATGAAATCGCATTATCATAAACAAGAATTTCAAAAGAATTCTTAGCTTCACTCAAAAACTAATTATTCATTGTTGAGTGTATTTAGTGAAGACAAAAGGGAACTAGAGAAAACATATGATAGATGAAACCATCGCATAGATAGTTGGGAGAAATGATTACAAAACTCATACTGCGAATCTAGTCGAGGATCAAAAATTCATTCATCAACCTAATTCATACTATCAGAAATACTGTTAAACTCAAGTTCAGATAATAAATCAGTTTCCTTATTTATATTTATATTATTTGTCCCTTGGGTTCCTAATGAAACATACAGCTTCACTAGCACGTCTCCATTACACTCTATTCTCTGCAATATTATCAACCTGCCTCCACAACTACCAACAACCTCTCATTTCTAACTCACACACCATCTCCCCCATGTCACCCTCACCACGCACAACCAACTCATCATTTCTCATCTCCATTCCACTCGACAACCTGACATGCTGCGTGATGTCCCCGAATTGTCTTCTCAGTGCATGCCCAATCCACCTGCATTTCTTTCAACTACATATTTGTTGATCGATAGGTTGTTGCTTCGTTGGTTCGTTGCCAGCCGCCCAGCCACCCACCCAGCCAGCCAGACTTCCTTGTTGCTCATTCTTATTATTCTCGTCATCTGAACTTCAGTAACGAGCTAGTGTAGGCTGCAGTTGTTCATGAATATCTGTAGTTTGTTGGAAATCCCTCTCGTAACGCACCAAGTCTCTCAATCATATAGAAACACTGACTTGACTGCATCACTGTTGAAAATCCAGATGTTGTTCACGCTTCATGCTGAGTGCAGTGCAGTCAATCTCTACACTGGTTTCAGGTTAATGAACCCCTTCTCTTTCTGTCTTTCCGATCTTGGCTGACTTTGACGTCCTCATCTCTGCCACCACCTGTAGTTGAAACCGTGTTGTCTAGAAAGGTTAAAGAGGCTACCTCCTTCAAGTTTCCCCCTTCATGGTGATTGGAGCTTTCTGTTGTTGTTGTTGTTTGTTGGGTATCTTCATCACCTCTGTCTTCTCGATATTCACTTGAATGGTGTCCCGTCTTCGCTGCCTCACCTCATCTGTCACCTTCTTACTTCTCACCTGTACATCTTCACGTTTCCGCCACAAGACATCAGACACAAGTCATCGGCGAAATCTAAATCTCCTTCTACAATCTTTACCCCAGTCCAGCCAGCTTATCTCCCTCTTCTCGCTCCTCACTGTTTGTTGCATGATCCAGTCAACCACAATCAGGAATATCATTGGTGATAATAGACAGCCTTGACTCACTCCTTCCTGTCTTCACTTTAAAGACATCACTGAGGTGTCCATTGTGAATTACTTATCATGTGGCGTTTTCATATAGTTGTTGAATGAGGTTGCTGAAGGTTTGTGATATTGCATATTGTTGAAGCAGTTTCTAAATTACTTCTCGGTGGACGCTATAGAAGTCTCTTATATTACAAATAAATAAGAAACACCCAACATTCTGCACAGATGTCACTAAAACACACACAAGCGGATGACAGAATTTCATATTGCAAATTATGATCCAGAAGACGTTTATAGCACATTTTCTTACTGGGAAACTTTAGTAAACAGAACAGATGTTCTTCATGCTTGGTGATGACTGAAATTAAAATGAAAATCTGAGCTGTAGAACGATTCGAACCATCAACCCCTGGGTTACTGACCTGGTACTCTGCCAATTGAGCTAAAGTCGGATCTCATATCTTGTTTGGTAGAGCACCGATTAGACTGCCCGGATATCGCTGGTTCGAATCCTTCTACAGTCCAGATTTTCATTTCATCTTTAATCATCATCCAGTATCGATACAAGTCTGTCAAACCACGGTTATCTCAAATAATCAAATTGAAAATATTCTTCAGTCAGAGAAAAGGTAAGAAATGAAAGCAAATGATTACATGCTGCATTGGGCTATTAATCCACGGTACAGTAATTTTTCAAGAAGACGAAAATGGATGGAAATTTCACATATATATTTTCTAATATATCTCAATGATCCCACTTCATTTCTTTAGGGAGATCTGCATAACTTTAAGATAAATTCAGGCCTACTGGCAAGAGTTCATCGACTGCCAACTGATAAGTGATGTTATCCAGGTTATAAAAAGAAACAGTATATAGTCACTTGACTCACCAATAGCTTTTTTTCATTCTTCATCAATTTATTGGCAAAGTTAGTTTAATAATTTAGCTGTGTGTGAACACTTATCACTCGTCCACACTGTTACTCAACTTATTTACTATTTTAATACCTTTTCTCTCCGTATTTACTGTATGTTCTTATTGACTGCCAACTTTTTACAAAAAATCCCTGGAAAAAAACTAACCTTATCTCCATATATTAATCATATAAGACTTCATGTAATCGGATATACCTCCATGTATTTTTTAACGACTTCGATAATAACTAGTTTCTTAAACTTGATTAGACGGCTGATTAGTTCAGTCAGAATTCCAAATATGCAAAATTTTTAGTCACTTCAATTTCCAGTCACCTGGAAATGAACTTTGACACATAGTTTCCAGACATATAATGTATTTTCATTGTTAGCATCCTCAACAATTTTATTCCACTTTACATTTAAACTTATCCTGGAAAAGTTTATGATGTAAATACCAATTCTTTCAAGATACCCAGAGATAGGATTTACATTTAATTGCTTGTTCAGAGTTAGTTAGTGTGGGGCACTTGAACTATACTTCATCCTCATTAAAACTAACCCGCAGGGTATATTTGTGACAGCATCGAAACTCACTCTACTCTTAAAATTTAAACCTGTATTATGCAGCTGTGTCATCAGAGGCTTCGCTAGTGAGTTGTTGAAAAACACCACTGCACGCAGAAATGTCATTGAATTGTATTTAGTCCTCGATGGTTAACGAATTCTATCGTTCAGGTAATTTGAAATAAGGTTAGGCGAATTTTCCTTCATCCCACTTGATAAGTGCATCGTATTCCTCAACATACAAATATCAATTAACAAAAAATCTAACTCATATCGTATTCATCTTCGGGATTAATACTGTAATCCAGGACATGCGTTTCATCCTACTTTGAACTTTTCAGCAGAATGTACCTGCACCCCAATCAGGAATGTTGTTCCCATTGAGATTTGAACCTAGTACCTATCGCTTCAAACGTCAGAGGTCGAGCAATTTGACCCTGTATAGCAATATAAAATTACAAGTATTGAACAAAGCTTGGTCGTAGTGTTGTTCATCACCATGGAACTGGTTCATAAATAATTCAACTGGAATATCTGCCACCTTTTTGAAAATTTCATTCTTGAAGAGAAAGGTTCCAGATTTTCAACAGTAATCCAGTCCAATCAGTGTTTCCATATGATTGAGAGACTTGGCGCTTTGAGAAAGGATTTCCAACAAACTACAGATATTCATGAACAACTGCAGCCTACGCTAGCTCGTTACTGAAGTTCAGATGACGAGAATAATAAGAATGAGCAACAAGGAAGTCTGGCTGGCTGGGTGGGTGGCTGGGCGGCTGGCAACGAACCAACGAAGCAACAACCTATCGATCAACAAATATGTAGTTGAAAGAAATGCAGGTGGATTGGGCATGCACTGAGAAGACAATTCGGGGACATCACGCACCATGTCAGGTTGTCGAGTGGAATGGAGATGAGAAATGACGAGTTGGTTGTGCGTGGTGAGGGTGACATGGGGGAGATGGTGTGTGAGTTAGAAATGAGAGGTTGTTGGTAGTTGTGGAGGCAGGTTGATAATATTGCAGAGAATAGAGTGTAATGGAGACGTGCTAGTGAAGCTGTATGTTTCATTAGGAACCTAAGGGACAAATAATAATAAAGAGGAAACGTAAATTTTTTTTCCCTTGGATGAAAGTAACAGGTTATATGGGGAAAGCGTGACAATATTAGTTAGGATTACATTAGCAATGGGAACTAAATTGATAGTATACTGTACTCTTGAACTGCTCAACTCTTAGTGTATAGTGAAAATTAGTGTTAAACAATTCTAGCCTGTTGTTAGATAACTAAGAATCTATACATCTCTTCATGGTTTCGTTTAAAAAAGAATTTTAAGTTAGCTGGAAAATGGATGACCTATTGGACAAACTAACTGTACAGTGAGATGTACATTTGTGTTATAATGGAAGAATGCTAACGCATAAGATAAAGTTGCTTCTTCAAACTCATGGATTTTATGAAACACTTCTCTTCAAGAGGATATCCATTTAACTTATATTTTCAGTAGTTCACAAAATTGACAACTATTCATAATAAAGGCTATCTTGTAAATAATGCAGTAAAATATAAGATAATCACTTTCTCTTCATTTAATTTAACCAAGTTATACAACAGAAGTAATCCAATATTTAAAGTAGAAAAAACATAGTAAACAGTATAAAAGAATTCATACAATACACCGAACTATGGAGGTTGTAAATAGTTATAGACTTACCATGATTTATAAATGCATCATAATACTGTAACAATTTAGCTTTTTGTAGTAATAAGTAAACTTCCAATTCTTCAAGATTTTGAGGTATATTCCGTTTAGCCTCCATTCAATTTATTTCGTTAGTTGTATACAGAATTTCAGTTATTTTATGCAGAGAAGAAATTGAATGCATCAATGATGCATTCAATATTGTCACTGTCCTCTACTATCCCGCCCCCCCCCCTTCCTTACCCCCTCCACCTTCATTACTCTTATCGCCTAACTCCTTAGTCTTGTCCTTCACCCTATAAGAGAAATTATTTCAAGTGAATCAAATCATCAATGTTTTATTTCACTCCATTTCTCTACCCTTCATTTATCTGAAAAGTATTCATTATGTAATCATTTAATGTGTTGAACAAAGACATTGGTTGATTTCATCTTTATCTGAATCAATTTATCTACTTGAGGTTTGAGAAAATGACTAGGAAGAGATTAAAACCAGCAGCTGGGAATTTAATCCTTGTCAACCATTAAAAAGCATTGAGTTAGAAATTTGAATGAAGAAATTATTTTCTGAGTGTTTAATTTATTTATTTCAAGTGGAAATGAAATTATATAATATGATGTCTCTTATCTCTGTTAGTTAGATATAGTGTAAAAACCACTTAAGAAGGCAGAGAGTTCACAAATCGATTTTTTGTTGTTGGTGTCGGTGATGACGGTGGTGGTGGTGGAGAGAAACACAGGGATATAATCAATCGATTAACTGATGTCATTTCACGCAAAACTATTCAAGGAACTTAGATAAAATTTTAATGATATAACAATTGACAAAAAAAAATCCTTTCATTCACCAGAATTTAACCAAGTATATAATGACAGCTTATTTATTCCACCTAGACTAAAACATGACATCAATGAATGAAGTTCTTAACTGTTCCTTTTAGTCATATAGGTCGATGCAGACTAGCCGGTTGGGGTCCACAGGACAAGAGAAACCAGTGGTTGGAGACTAGGTGATATGGCTCAGAACCGATGTCACTGGCGTAGATATATACAAACATTATCCTCGTCTTAACCGCTGTAATTAATCTCATCATTTTCTCGTTTCTCTTTCCTTTCTTTGACTAATTCCTACTTCTTTTGACCAATTTTTCTCTCCTTCTTCACTTTTCATTTTGTTGCCTTGTTACTTGATGTGCTGATATGAGACGGGGCAACTTGGACCATTATGTAGTAATGCCTGGTCCTATGTTGATCTTGATGATGATCAACTTCAAATATAATAGGTCTGAAGTTTTTGTGATCAAATATACTGTCTCACTGATATGTCATTAGTTTTATTCGACGCATACACTAAAGGAAGTGCCTTTCTAGAGGTATCCTGAACAATCCTGTAACATCTAAGAAAGTTACTTCACCTTTCGCATATTTCTTAGTTGTTTTCAAGAATTCAATATTTTGTTAGTAAGAAACCCCATACTCCTGATCAAAATATGTTGATAATAACTCACGTTTTACAAGGAGGTTACCTAAACACCATGCAGAGGGTATACCGATCTAATGATGAAGACATTTATCGTATGCGTCTTTTACCAAAGATAAACATTTTTTTCATGATTATTATTTTAGAACTTGTAAGTTTTCGTCGTTGATTGGAGTGGATTGATCGGCTCCAAGCTATGAAATAATACCTATACCATGCCCGTCGCACAAAAAGTGGCTATCATAACTCAGTGACCTGGTGGGTAACAGTCTAGAGTTTGAAGCGATTGGTCGTCTTTTGGAATGTCACTGGACAGTAAGCACATCCAGCTGATGAGTCCCAAATACTAGTATATGCATGTTCTAGATTCCACTGGTAGCCACTATCCCTCATTAATACCATTTTATGATTTGTGATGACAACAATAATTAATAAACAGAGCTTAAAATCTTTCATGACAGTATGAATTTCAACTTTTTTCATTTATCCTTCAACTGTTTTTGAGTAGTTGAAGTTGAATTTCGATTTGATAGCTTGATTTTGGATTAAAAGAATCAATCAGTAGGAAGCTGTGAACAGAGATTCCATATTCTTAGGGGTGCATCAGCAGGGTGTATCGTAGACCTTGAAGGAGACTCAGTTTCCTTCAGCTCGGCCGATAGACTTCATTAGTTGGTGTACACATAAGACACGATAGCTACATCAGTTATCATCCGGTGACTGATTCTTGTACATATGTACCAAACAGCTGGAACATCAGATTGAACGCGTGCTTGGGGAAATTAGATTTGTTGTTGTTGCTGAAGATTTAAAAAAAGGAAGAAGAATGTATCAGTTTGGAAGGTCAGCTATCTTGAAATCTACCAGTTCCCCACAAACGACTATGTGAATAATAATTCAACAGTCATTACTAAATAGCTTTTAGGTAGACTCACCAAATTTCTAATCTAAGGTCAGTCTGTAGGATCATTTAAGTTGAAGATGAGGGTAGTTGACTATGATGACACTTGAATAATAGTTGCAAGAGCTGTAAAAACACAGATCACCAGTAACTGAATGGCACATTGGCCTCTCTAAAGCAATGATGTCATGGTCTCGATTTCAGCTTGAGCTACAACTGCATGATACTGAATACTTCTAAACTGAGATGAAGTAGCTACTTAGAGTTGTCATTTTTAATGCTTCTCTGACTGACTTCAGTTCATAGTGGAAACTACTATCAGAGTGCGAATAGTATAGCAACAACAACAGCAGCACCAATAGGTTTAGAGCTAATATTAGCTTGAGGTGGTTTAATTATCTTTAAATATATCTTAAGTAAACAGTTGTTTCCATACTATCACTAGAAGGTGTATTTTAATCAGTTTCTTTTACCTTTATTTCATTAAGTGTTAACATTACCACTGAGATACTATAATGTGATAGTTGGCTGATATTACCCAGTAAATCGACAGCTTCATAAGGGACAATATCTCTCCTTTTGTCAACTAAAGTTCTGTTAGATAGTCTTATCAATAACAAGGTGAAATTTTTCCAGTTCTTAGCTGTGAACAATTTAGGAAACGTATAGTTTTCTACTAAAAAATATCAGCAGATGTCATTACTTTCAACTAAAGAAGGCTAAATAAGAAGGGCTACGAAAGTCTTTGCAAGAACTGGCGCGGAATCACACTGTTATCTACCCAAGCAAAATATTAAGCCGCATCATCTTCGAGAGACTAAGGATGCACTGTATTCAATACTACCACCGGAACAGGCAGGCTTCAGGAAGTACAAATTATGTGCGGACCTAATTACAGAGCTACTCTACGCATGATCACAGAACAAAGTATAGAATGGCAGTCAACTGTCGACCTCAACTTCATCGACTTTGGGAAGGCCTTTGATAGGGTAGACTGTGAAGTAATCTGGCAACTGCTTCAACAATATGCAACATCACAAACCTTCAGCAACCTCATTCAACAACCACATGAAAACGCCACATGATAAGTAATTCACAATGGACACCTCAGTGATATCTTTAAAGTGAAGACAGGAAGGAGTGAGTCAAGACTGTCTATTATCACCAATGATATTCCTGATTGTGGTTGACTGGATCATGCAACAAACAGTGAGGAGCGAGAAGAGGGAGATAAGCTGGCTGGACTGGGGTAAAGATTGTAGAAGGAGATTTAGATTTCGCCGATGACTTGTGTCTGATGTTTTGTGGCGGAAACGTGAAGATGTACAGGTGAGAAGTAAGAAGGTGACAGATGAGGTGAGGCAGCGAAGACGGGACACCATTCAAGTGAATATCGAGAAGACAGAGGTGATGAAGATACCCAACCAACACCACCACCACCACCACCAACAACAACAACAACAAGCTCCAATCACCATCAACACGAAAAACTTAAAGGAAGTAGTCTCTCTCACCTATCTAAGCAACACGGTTTCAACTACAGGTGGTGGCAGAGATGAGGACGTCAAAGTCAGCCAAGATCGGAAAGACAGAAAGAGAAGGGGTTCATTAACCTGAAACCAGTGTAGAGATTGACTGCACTGCACTCAGCATGAAGCGTGAACAACATCTGGATTTTCAACAGTGATGCAGTCAAGTCAGTGTTTCTATATGATTGAGAGACTTGGCGCTTTGAGAAAGGATTTCCAACAAACTACAGATATTCATGAACAACTGCAGCCTACGCTAGCTCGTTACTGAAGTTCAGATGACGAGAATAATAAGAATGAGCAACAAGGAAGTCTGGCTGGCTGGGTGGGTGGCTGGGCGGCTGGCAACGAACCAACGAAGCAACAACCTATCGATCAACAAATATGTAGTTGAAAGAAATGCAGGTGGATTGGGCATGCACTGAGAAGACAATTCGGGGACATCACGCACCATGTCAGGTTGTCGAGTGGAATGGAGATGAGAAATGACGAGTTGGATGTGCGAGGTGAGGGTGACATAGGGGAGATGGTGTGTGAGTTAGAAATGAGAGGTTGTTGGTAGTTGTGGAGGCAGGTTGATAATATTGCAGAGAATAGAGTGTAATGGAGACGTGCTAGTGAAGCTGTATATTTCACTAGGAACCTAAGGGGCAGGTAATAATAATCATAATAAAGGTGGCTGAATACTGTATATTATGTATCGAACTGGGTTAAATTAGCAAAGTGTAATCTATAAGAGTGTGAGATAACACTTGAATTACGGAACCTTCATCTTGATTTAGTGATAACAGAAGTATAAGGTTTAAGCAGACATTCTTATTGGTCATAGATTCACTTTTCATTCATATCAAATAAATGTAACGAATATTTATAGCCTGTTACTCACTTTGATAGTAAGTTGAAGAGTGTTAAATAAACTTAACTGGGTTATGTTTGATTCGAAACCATAAAAATTACATGATAGAGAATTGATGAAAGATTTCTGACAATCATCTGCTGGGAAAACTAATCCTCTTCAGTTATATTTCTTTAAAGTATTATAAAAGTTGGATATTTACAGAAATTTCACTATAATTCTTTAAATTTTATAGTATACAAGTGTTATTCATAGTTTTTGATGTGATAATTCTTAAATCTCCATCGTTGATTGGATCGAATTAATTCACCTCTGTTGCAGCATAGATTCTATACGGATGCTTCGATATTGC